GTGCAGAATACGTTTTCGCGTGCGCGTTTTATGTATAACGGACGGTATAAGCTAAAATTATCTAATTATCTATTTCAGTTAATGTTGATGATTGCGTTGTTCCTTAATCTTCGAATTGGATCCGGTTTATGATTTTTTGCAGACTGTAAGAGCAATTTTATAAAAGTAAGCTTGAACTTTCGATTATGTCAAATAGAATTTCCGATGCTGGAGCTCCCAAAGGATCTACAAAAAGAAAGTATGTTTCGATGTCCATCAAACAAAAAGTGCAATTGCTGCAAAAAATGGATAAAGACATGAAGAAGGTGACAGAGAGGTTAGGGAAAACGAAAACATTTCAATTGACAAGTTAGTCGGTATTCTCGGCACAGCAATTCCGGGACTTGAACAGCGGAACTTTGTAACTGAACAAGAAATTATGTCTGTTTATAGAATTAAAGAGAAAGTATTATCACATAAAATGAAGCAACTTAAACAACGTACGTTGAAAGAAATGTTTAATAAAGTAAACAAATAAATATTAAGCTTTTTTTTTTTTTTTTTTTTTTTTTTGTAAATTTTGATACCCTTTAGATCATAACTGTTCTTTATTTCATAAATTACGGTTTCATATTTTTAATTTTAGAATTTCTGCATGCCATCTTACGAGATTTAAACTGATGATATATAATCCGTAATCGCCGAAGTCCCGACGAGTCCGGATTAACGACTTTTGACTGTATCTTTTCCACATTTAACTGTAGGATAAATTACTTTTCTATTAGTTCATTTTTTGTTTTATGAGATTTAAGTCTTTTTTTTTTTTTTTTAATACAGATTTTAAAATTTATGTCTTATTAAACTTCAAAATATGCGCCGCCCAGGCGGTATCGCGGTTAGGGAAGCCTGACTGTGATACCAAAGGGCCTGGGTTCAAATCCCGGAGAAGGCATGGTTGGAACTGTCCATCCTTTTTCATAGGAGGTGATGGTGGCCCACCTATTAAGTGCCTTCGTAATAAAGAGACCTCCCCATCTGGTCTTATATAATTTAATGGACTGGGTTACACTGTAACTGTTCACAATCTGCCATTAGAAAAAAAAAAAAAAAACTTCAAAATATGCATATCATTATAGCATGTACCGTATATTTTTGTGTATGTAATCCAAGAATTTTTTGAACTTGTCCTAAAGTTAAATTATGAGGGTCGGCTTACATGTGGATCTGCTGATGTCGGAAAATATATTGGCACTTTTCCGTTAGCCAGGTGCCAGTGTTAAACTGGAAAATGTAACATTTTTTGTTACCTTAAATTTCTTAAGTTTATAATAAAAATTTAAATGAGTTATTTGTTTTATAATTATGTGTTATTTTTAAAATTATTTATATTGCTGGTCTGTTCCATCTTCGCCAAAATGATAATCTGATGTCGTCAAAATTTGTGTTCTGCTTTTTCCATCCTTGAATTTGCTTTTCATTTATGGAGAACTGCCGAGCAACCATACATTTGTTAGAATTTTTAGCAAATATAGAGTTTGAAATTTATAGTATAAGAATTTCTCTTCAAGCTCATATTTCAGACAATAAAATTAAGTAGCATAGAAAATAAGACTAGCTCAGATATCGTAGATCATATACAAGATTACAAATTGAAAGAATGTGGTTACTTCAGATAAGATTACTGGAGTTAAAGCTATTGTCGTTGGCATTGGGTGCTTTAATTTACAACAGTTTCATTTTATTGATATTAGGTGTTTTAAGTTACAAACATTTGATTGGAAAATATTCTGTGTGTTTTACGGTGCTTGGCAACATTTTTGCCCTCATTAGCCATTAGGAGAAAAAAAAAAAAAAATCTGCCATGAGGATTGCAGAATTTTTTCTTCATTTTACTTTATATACAGGTTTTAATTTTTTAAAGAAAAAACAAGATCCTGTCTTATACACAGTTAGGCTTATATTCAGAAATATCATGGACAGGGTTCGTAGCGGTCCTTACAAGTGCTTATAAGTCCTTATATTTGAAAATAAAATATAAAGGCCCTTATAGGTGCTTACTTTTTCTTTAAAGCCCTTATTTTTTTGTTTTTAGTGCTTATTGTTTGCTTTGAGTGCTTTTTTTAATGCTTTTTTTTAATGAACACGCATTTTTTCCCCGTACCAAAAGCGAAACTAAATAAACAACTCTTCTTCCTTATAAAAAAAAAAAAAAAAAATGCAACGTCAGATGGTGAATGATACTCCCGGAAATTGCTTTCCCTCCCTTTCTCTGCATTAACGTAAACTATGGTACGTGCGAGAGTACAGACAGGTGCACATCGTTCTATTGGTCAAAGAATTGCGAAAACAGTAGAAAATTCCGGTACATTCAGTATTCTTTTCCTCCCACCCAAATACTACACACATTTGAGTTTCTATCGAGATTTTAATAATTTACATTCTCGTTCGGCATGGTCAGTTCATATTCGTGTTTATTATGATCGTTATGCTTATATTATGAGTATGTGCATGAATATTTATAATAATATAGTTGCAGTAACTGCTGAAGTATAGATAAACTTCCAAAAATGGGTGTGTTTTTACACAGACAGATTAGCTTTCTAAGGAATAATATTTGGAATGGCTTAAATAAAAGGAAAGTAATCAAATAGTCATTTTTTTTTTTTTTTTTTTTTTTTTTTTTGTCAATACATTATACAGTACGGAGGTTGGGAGGTTCTACCCTTTCTCCGCAAAATCTCTAATATTGAAGCAACAGACTTTTTTTTTTGGGTCACTGTCCAATCTGAATTGAATAGGAATAAAAGTTTTTGCGGTCTACTCAACAAATGGAGATTGATTCTATTCCGGAAATTTAACGCAGTCTGTTGAAAATTAGAATCAGAAACACCCCAGATTAGTAAATCTCTTTCTTTTCCTTTATTTAGTTCTTTATTCTCCGAATACCGGCAGCTGTTCATTCTGATTGCGAAATATCACATGTGGAAGAATTACGTTTGCGGTATTTTGCAGATAATTTTGATGTTCAGTCCGAGATTTGTTTATGAACACTTAAAAGAGTTTTACTGTGCTTTCTAAGCAGAATATTTCTCAGCTCTGTTGGTCTATTTTCATAAGATGCACATATCGAAATGTCAAAATCATTTATTTAGCCGAGAAATCTAAAGAACGGCAACATTCTCCCCCACTCCTCTTTTTCCACTTACTATCCGGAATATTCAGCAATTTCCGAGTATGCGGGTTAGTTTACTATTAAAGGATGACTGCATGAAGCAATTTCAAGTCTTCTGATTTCAGAAATGGGCCTCTTTTTTACCTAAATTACTTTGCTTGGAATATATGTTAAGGAAAAACTGTTATGCAATGAAAATTTAGAAAATGTTCAGAATTTGGATTTAAATTATATAAATATTAATATGAGTGGGAAAATAAATTGTATTTATTATTAGGTGCCCAACGAATACAATTAATATAGCTTATTATTTATTTTCTATATTTGTACTGAAATTTCATCATTAAATCTTGTAATATAGTTTAGTTCTGCATAGTTTTTTTTTCTCTCATTGTAAACTAATTCTGTAAATGAAACTGTCATTTAAATTTAAAAAAAAAAAAAAAAAAAAAAAAAAAAAAAAAAAAAAAAAAAAAGTTAATTGGTTTCCATGGTTGAGGTAATGCTCATTCTTTTAATAAATATTGCATTTCTCATGTTTTAAATTACAAGTCTAATTTTTCTTTTAAGGTTATTAAGGTTATGCAGTTATGTATAATGTAATTAGACAGGTGCTTTTTTTCCTCTTAAAATGTGCTTGAAAAGTGCTTATAGGTGCTTATTTTTTTTAACTAAAATGTGACTACGAACCCTGATGGAGGTAGGAAGTTAGATAGAGTGGCCCTAAACCGTTTTCTCCATACCCTGCTTTGAAGCACTGGCGATCCCTCCTTTGGTGACCAAAACATTGGGTAATTTACCATTGAGTTCAATGGGTTTTGGCACGATCGGATGTAAATATTTTGTAATTAAGTCTTAAATATGCATATAAATGTATATATTTTCTTTTTGTACAATACTTCAGAGTCCTAAGTATATGAAAAGAATACATTTTTAAACAGCATTTCATTCTGAATGAAATTAAATGCTTACTTTTCACAGAACAGTTTGCTCAGAGTGGTTTAATTTGAAATATTTTTACAAGTTTTCGTTAATTACATTAGAAAACAAATCTAAGGTAATTCAATTTGATTTGGTTAAGGATTACAAAAATTAAGATCAAAGTTTATTGTATTATTAAAATTATGCATTATTTCTTTTCTATTTATAGAGCTTCTTACTAAAATACTGAAATATGACATGATTTTTTAGCTTCTAAGGCATCTTTTAAATCAAAAACTATAAGTCAATTTATAATTAATGCTCTATTCGTTTCATTTCTAATTAGAGCAAAAATATAGATTTTGCTAAAATCTATATTTTTGTAGTTCAACAGCTTAGAATTTTATAAAAACAATTCATAATCAAAATTGCTGTTGTTAGTTATCGAAAAATAACCAAGATGTGATTTTTGTGTAAATGTTACTAAACTATACAAATTGCTATTATCCATCATACTAGGAATGTTTCTTTTATGTGGAAGTGTCCCGTTTTTCGATTTCTATGGAACTGTCATGTGTCGAAATACTATCAGAGCGCTGTCAAGCGACCTTCTGAATATAAACAAACAAACAAACAAAAAAAAAAAAAAAAAAAAAAAAAAAAAAACCATCTTGTGACCGAAACTTCAGAGCAGTGCTTCACTTGTAATGCCGGTTTGGCCACTCCTTCTTTTCTTACCTCCGTGAGAAATATACGGTAATAAAAAGAACATAATGCAGAAAGTGTAAAGTGTTTGTGAGAATGTATTTAATTATTTACTCCCTTTTTATTTATTTATCACTAGTTCCATATAAATTTAATTTTTGTTGTCATATCTTTATTGTGTTGTGACCTAGTGATTTATTTTGTATTATTGTATTTTTTTAAGGTATTTTGGCTAATACCTCCCACAGAACGAAATCTGACATTATATGAAAATTGGGTTCTATCTGGAAAGCAAGGTGATGTCTTTTTTGGAGATACTGTAGAAAAATGTGCCCGAGTGCATTTAGAATCTGGTGACACATTTTTCATCCCAACTGGTAAATTTCTAGTTGTATTTATACCTTTAATTTTTTTTTTACTATTTTTAGCCTTTCTCCATATTACCAATATGTGCTTAAGTTACTCAACATGATTTGTCAATTAAGTATACTCATATCAAAGCTTGAGTTGTGCAATTGTCTCAATCACCTGGGAACAAATATAAAATTTTTATTTATTAAAACTCGCAATTCTTATAATGTTATTTTCATATATAAAAATATTTGAAAATATGTGTGTATACATTAATGTGTGCTTGTGTGTGTGTAATATATTAATGTGTGTTTGTGTGTGCAAGATAAAAGTTAAAACTTTAAATTTTAATGACTCTTTAAGTCTCTTATTTAATTTGATTATGTCCCATTTTTATTTTATAAATACTAACATCCTTAAAAATATCCCTTCGAATTGAATCATTTTAAAATTATTCCGTATCACAAAATTCTTATGTAACTCTCCTAATGATATATATTTACTTAATGCAAAAGGTCTTTCAGAGAATAATGATATTTAAGTTTATAAAGTCAAATTTTGATTATCCCAATAGGAATAAAGTGTATTATTCTCGACCTAACATTCACATAATATAACCTTGTATTCTACGCAGTTTCTGCTGTTGTGTATTATAAAAGTGTTATACAGTCAAAAGTCGTTAATTTGGACACCCATAATCCGGAATGATCTATAATCCGGACCTCAAAGCTAAAAACTTTCTGCGCATGCACCGCATTGACACATGCGCATAGGCGTTTACGCGTGCGCGTAAGACCTTTTACTACTGTGCATATGCATGTGCGCAAGCGCAGAATACATTTTCGCGTGCGCGTTTTATGCATTATTGGACGGTATAATCTAAAATTATATAATTATCTATTTCAGTTAATGTTGATGATTGCGTTGTTCCTTAATCTTTGAATTGGATCCGGCTTATTATTTTTTGCAGACTGTAAGAGCAATTTTATAAAAGTAAACTTGAACTTTCGATTATGTCAAATAGAATTTCCGATTCTGGAGCTCCCAAAGGATCGTACAAAACAAAAGTATGTTTCGATGTCCATCAAACAAAAAGTGGAATTGCTGCAAAAAATGGATAAAGACATGAAGAATGTGACAGAGAGGTTAGTGAAAACGAAAAAATTTTGATTTACAAGTTAGTCGGTATTCTCGGCACAACAATTAACGGGACTTGAACAGCGGAACTTTGTAACTGAACAAGAAATTGTGTCTGTTTATAGAATTAAAAAGAAAGTATTATCACATAAAACGAAGCAACTTAAAACAACTTACATTGAAAGAAATGTTTAATAAAGTAAACAAATAAAAATTAATTTTTTTTTTTGTAAATTTTGATACCCTTTAGATTATAATTGTTCTTTTTTTCATAATTTAAGGTTTCATATTTTTAATTTTAGAATTTCTGCATGCCATCTTACGAGATTTAAACTGATGATCTATAATCCGGAAAAATCGATAATCCGAAATCGCCGAAGTCCCGACGAGCCCGGATTAACGACTTTTGACTGTATCTAATTTCTCTGTTTGCATCTACTTTTCAAGAATAAAAATGGCTATATTGGCTGTGAATGCAAGTGTCTTTATTAACTGGCTGTGGTGTTTCATCACCATTTCTCAAAATTTTCAATATGTATCTATTGAGAAAATCAAAGCTGTTCATAACTGGTGTGAGAACTGGCATCAGTTTGAATACTATTACCAGAAGGAGGGAAGACCAGTTAAAAGTTATGCAAATGATTGTCACAAGTGTCATCAAAATGAAAAACACAGTGGAAGCAAATGCTGCTGAGATGAAAAAGATAACGAATGCTGGAACAACTACCACTTCTCTTTCCGTAATCAAGAGTTTCATTAAAGCCAACACTGAAGTGGTCTCTAGAAAGAAAGTATTTCTTCTGTTAAAGGAAAAATTGTAAATGCCATGAATGAGAACGAACCCTTAATAGAAGAAAAATTTCATAGAGATTTAAAGAATGTTAATCATGAAGTTTCTGCAGTTAGTTAGAGACTCAAGAAAAATTTGAAAGATTAGAGAAGAAATTTGATACTTTTTCAATTTTTAAATGACATTTTAGTCAAGGCACCTGTGAGTGACGTCGTAGGGAAGTCTGCTATGAATAACATTCTGGTTCAGTCATCTTGTCCCACAAGTATTTTGTTGTTATATGATGAGAAATCATTATGATATATATATGAAACGCAGTAGGATATGATTTTGCAGACAGATCAATAGGACTTACTCATTGAAGCCTTTTATTGGTGGTTGTTTTATGAAGAATGGTGATAGAATTTCTACAGACAGTTCTGGCTGAAAAATTAGCAGATGCTGTCACCTAAATTAATGTTTTGTTTGTGAAAAAAATTTCTCAAAGATTATTACTGAATGTAGCTTGCCGTCCAAGCCACTAAGGTTTTAGACTCAAAATGCTGAACTTCTAAAAAAAGCCATGAATAAATAGTATTTTCTTGATAATAATTCAAAATAACTTTTCTACTTTATAGCTTGACTATTTTTCGTTCAATATTTGTACTAGATTAATTGTCTGTAACTGTTGCAAGAAGTGTCTGTGATATATGATATATATCATGGTACAGATAGGATAAATAATTTTAATAAACTATTTTAAGATACTTATAGATTAATAAAACATTTTAATAAGATATTTGTAAAATTTTAATAATATATTTTATTAAAATATTATTATAAATATAAATAAAATAATGTAGATCGTCATCATGGGCTGTCCAATAAATAGCAAATATCTATATAAATAAAATATTGGGTTGGCAACTAAATTCCTGCCGTTTTAATAATGTTTGTTAAAAGGTTATTTTTCATTAAACATATTCAAGTAGTAAATTAAGAATGTATTCTCCTTTGTTGTCTACAACTTTTTCCCAATGTTTAACAAGTTTTTCAATACCTCATTTTTAGAAATCACCTGTTTGAGACTCGAAAAAGTCATCCAACCAAGCTCTCATTTCTGCATCAGTATTGAAAGAAACTTCCCGCATAGCATTTGAAAGAGATCAAAAGAGGTGAAAATCCGTTGGTGTCAAATCGGGAAAGTATGGTGGGTGTGGCCGCACTTCCCAACCATGAGTTTGGATGGCTTCCTTGGTCATATTGGTGATGTGAGGGTGGGCGTTGTCGTGCAGCAAAGGAACACCATGCTACCGATTAGGTCTTTTCTCTTAAATAGTCATATTGAGTCGTTCTATTTGTTGCACATAGAGTGCTGCAATGATCGTTTGGTTCCTTTCAAGCAATTCGAAATGGAGAATTCCTTCCCAGTCCCACCATACGCACCGCATCGTTTTACGTGGTGGAATGTCATGTTTCGCACGTGGGGTTGCTTGTTTACCGGGGCTAAGCCATTCCTTGCACTGCTTCACATTCATGTAGAGGCACCATTTTTCATCGCCAGTAACGATTATGAAGGGCGATGATAACATGACTCTCAGTAAATTTATTACATGAATCCCCTTTGCAGCCATCCCATTCAGTGAGGTTTGAACCCAGTCAAATTGTTTGTGTTCAGCTGTTTTACTGTTAAACCACTGCTGGGCTAGTATTTATGAAATTTTAATTCGACTGACTTCTCTGCTTCTGGCTACTGCAAAACAAATTATTAGTATGGTCATTTTTTATTGTATCTCAGCTCTGCTCTACATTCTGCTCATAGTTAGTATATTTCTTATGTATACTACTCATATCTAGCTAATATGGCTATTGTATGAGATGGCTTTCTGTGGTGAAGAAACATAACTTCCAGAATATTTTGTATTCTGGCATAATTTTTCAAAGATTAAATTTTGATTAGTTTTTGCCATCCTATCATTTTAAATTATTGTGTATCAACAGCTAAAATATGCATCTTTCAATTTTTACCTCTTCATTTATCATTTTTTATGTTCATTGCATGAATCAAAAACTTGGCGAATTCCCAAATTTTCAAAACTACGTTTTAAAAATCTTAAATTCATTTGTTAGCATGCTGTATTACCTCATTATGGTTTACAATTTTTTTAATTCCTTATCCATAGATTATTAGAAGATAAACTTTTCACTGTTATGTATTTTTAGGTAAGCAAACTATATTTTCTTTGAGAAAAATTGATATTTCAAGGTTGAAATATCTTCCTTGTGAGTAACATTGCTGCTTTGACACAATTCATTAATAAGAGCGTTCTTAGTGCTATTTAAATAATTTTTGATCCCAAATGCCTTTCTCTTTTCTGTGTTTTTTGTTCTTTGATTTTTATAATTCAGAAGTTTAGAAAATTGCAGAAATGATTCTAATCTTGTCACATGAACAGGTATATGGCCAATATTTACAGCTGGTAGATGCTGTCCAGTGAAATAATGGCTGAATATAAAGCACATATACTACACACATGCTTGCACTGGCTGTTTTGTGTGCATAGTAAAAAATGCGGCAGAAACAGTTGGCAGTTCTACTGAATGTTGAATCTAGGGGTGTGGATAATCAGAAAGTGCCATTTTAACTATTTATTGGACTGTTAATTTATTATAGTTATGAACAGATGAGCTTTCTTTGAAAAAACTGGTAATGTATTTTGCATTATTGTTACTACTATCTCAATTGGTATAAGTTTTGCATTAAGAGATTTATTTATGTAATATTAATTATGTATATTTTTTAAAGAATTTGTAGTATCATTAAATAAAAAAGTGTTTTGAGTGTGATATAAACTTATGCCTGTTTTTGTTCAGAATAGAATTTCATCTTAATATTTGTTTATTTTTGAAATTTTGCATCTATTGATAAAATTTAATTTTTGTTCTAAAAATTATGTTCGTCATAAATTAATTCACACAAGAAGAATTTATGTAAAATAAAGAATTTATGTAAAATAAATTCTAGTTTTATATTTTTATGGAAAAAATAAGTAGAAAATATTGTTTTTATATTAAAGGTTGGATTCATGCAGTATATACTCCAGAAGACACTCTTGTATTTGGGGGTAATTTCTTGCATAACTTTGGAATTGAAAAGCAGTTGCGTATTGCTGAAGTTGAAGATGTGACTCACGTAAGTATTTTAGATCTTTTGTTTGTGATTAATTATTTTTTAATTAATAAATTTTATAATAAACAAGTTGTAATTTTACAAAAGAATTTTTTTTAACTAGTTCATTTAATATATTGATATGTTAAAAAGTGTGCTGAGTAATTATCTGTTATTTCAGTTTTACCCACTTGAACCTTTTGTATTTTATGCATTTTAAGGTTTATAAACTGTGACTCGAGCTTAATAATCCTGAAATGTAGTTGTAATAAAGTAAGTAAGGATTTGTGGTTTTTGATAATGCAGTATGGTGATGGTATTGCACAAGCATTTATGCCGTATAGAAACTGTTTCTATAAATTCTTTTTAAAGCAAATTCTTCATGTTTAAACTGATCCAAATAGCCAGTATTAGCTCATTTTGTTGCACAGTGCTAGAAAAAGTAAGTACTGTTGTAATTACATGATTGGATAAAAGTTGTATTTGTTGTTGACTTTGGTAACTTTTTTTATTTGGCACAGCTTTATTTGATAATTTATCCTCAATTTGGTTCTTTTCAGCTGAGGAATGTCTTATGGCATTGGTTTCCACAGTTTTCTTCTTGTATTGAGAAAATATCCAGGAAAGAACTCATCCTCTCTGGTAGTTAGTAATTCTAAAATCTACAGCGTTTTTATGTAGATTGTTTTGTTTGAGATGTATGTTAAGCAGATATATAGCTATGGAGCCAAATTATTGATCACACAAATTTATGCTAAAATGATTGCTCCTCTAATAATGAGGTATTTTATTTAGTGCCTAAATGAAATTAAGAATAGGGACTCTCCACGTTTTATTATTGGGGGGGAATCAAATATGCATACGTAAAGCATAAAAAAATTTTTCTTTGGTGGCTTTGAGGTCCAGATTTTAGATCATTCTGTATATTGGATGTCCGGATCTTAGAATTTGTACTGTATATTTATACGCCTGTGGTATGTACATATGTATATGAGGTATGCATGTACATGCAACACAAACACTAATATGGTAGCACGTATCCTGGGTAGTCATAAAAAAACTCCCCCTATATACATAGACTTCAACCATTATGGATTCTCCATAGTTTCTATGAAAGTTCCTGAAAAACTACAAGCTATGGAAAAACTGCAGATATCACAGAAATAGTATTGGAAAGCAATCTGTTAAAAGGTATTGTAAAGCAAATGCTAATGAGATGCGCACTTAAGAACGTAATAAAGAGTTTTGGAATATGTATTGTTGAAATGAAGGGTAAAAAAAAATCTGATAAGTATAGTCCAGAGAAAGTCAAGTACTATTTAAAGTATTTCACTCATTCCTAATAATTCTCTAATTTAAAATGAACTGAATAGATCATTAATTATAAATTGACTTACATTTTTCGATTTAAAAGATGCCTCAGAAGCCAAAAAAAATCATGTCATATTTAAGAAAGTATTTTAGGAAGAAGCTCTATAAATAGAAAAGAAATAATGCATAATTTTAATATTAATAATACAATAAACTTTGATCTTAACTTTGTACCTTAACCGAATAAAATCGAGTTACCTTAATTTTTTTTCTAATGTAATTAACAAAAACTTGTGAAAATATTTCATTCAAATTAAACCATTCTGAGAAAACTGTCCTGTGAAAAGTATAGTATTTAATTCCGTTCAAAATGAAATGTTGTTTAAAAATATGTTTTTTTCATATACTTAGGACTCTGAAGTGTTGTAGAAAAAGAAAATGTATACATTTATATGTATATTTACGACGTAATTACAAAATATTTACATCCGAACACGTCAAATCCCATTGAACTCAATGGTAAATGACCCAATGTTTTGGTCACTACGTAGGGATCACCGGTGCTTCAGAGCAGGGTACGGGAGAAACGTGTTTAGGGCAACTCCATCTTACTTCCTACCTCCATGATTACAAGAGTGTGTTGCTAGTTTTAAAGACTGGCCAGTCGTAGATCAGTAAACTTCAACCATCAATCTGTGTAACCAAATACCCTGCAGTGAAGATCAAGCCTGAAATTTAAAAATTCATATTCTGCAGAATTTCGTATTCATTAAAGCATCTGGAATTTTCATGAACTATGCACATTTCAGTATATGCAACAAAAGCTTCTCAGTTGCACATTCCGAAAAAGAGGACTAAGCAGCACATGCTTTCTCAAAAGCATAAAGAAATTGGTGCTGTAGAATCTAGAATTAACAAATTTCTTCATAAAAGGTGATGAGATGAATGCCATAAAAACCGACTACTATTTTGTTCGGTTTTTTATAGAACATAATATACTGATTTTAATTTTGGACCATTCAAAACAGCTTTTCAGTGCAATGCTTCTGATTTTGCTATAGCAAAACAATTAAGCTGCAGCTACACCAAAATTCCAATGCTTGCACAAAGTACTGTTACCAGTATTGTAAATTCAGTGTACAATCCATCATTTGCTTTTAGTAGTAATGGAAGAAATGGTAACGTACCCTTTGATTATGACACGTTATAGCAAAGAAAAGGGAGTGATAATTACTTCATTGATTTCTATTTTAAAAGGCACGAATAATACTAGAGAGGGTATTTTTAAATTATATAAATGAATACTTTCTAAGCAAAAGTTTACAATGGGAAAATTGCTCATCATTTTCTTCAGACAGTGCTAGTAATATATTAGGAAAATTTAAAGGTGTAGCATTATTTATCAAAATGTATGAATCAGATATAATCATGTATAGCTGAGAGAGGGGAAGATACTGAAAACAGGGTTCGTAGCGGTCCTTACAAATGCTTATAAGTCCTTATATTTGAAAATAAAATATAAAGGCCCTTATAGGTGCTTACTTTTTCTTTAAAGACCTTATTTTTTTGTTTTTAGTGCTTATTTTTTGCTTTGAGTGCTTTTTTAAATCCTTTTTTTTTAATGAACACGCATTTTTTCGCCATACCAAAGCCGAAACTAAATAAACAACTTTTCTTCCTTATATGCAACGTCAGATGGAGAATCATACTCCCGGAAATTGCTTTTCCCCCCTTTCTTTGCATTAACATAACCTATTGTGCGCGCTAGTACAGACGGGTGCACATCGTTCTATTGGTCAAAGAATTGCGAAAATGGTAGAAAATTCCGTTACATTTGGTATTTTTTTTCCTCCCACCCAAATACTACAAACGTTTGAATTTCTATCAATATTTTAATAATTTGCATTCTTGTTCCATGTGGTCAGTTCATGTTTATTATGATCGTTATGCTTATATTATGAGCATGTGAATGAATATTTATAATAATATAGTTGCAGTAACTGAAGTATAGGTAAACTTCCAAAAATGGGTGTGTTTTTATACAGATTAGCTTTCTAAGGAATAATATTTGAAATGGCTTAAATAAAAGTAACCGAATAGTAAAAATAATTTCTTTTCTTCTTTTTTTTTTTTTTTTTTTTTCCCGATACATTATACAGTACGGAGGTTGGGAGGTTCTCCCCTTTCTCCGCAAAATCTCTAATATTGAAGCAGCAGACTTTTTTTTTGTCACTGTCCAATCTGGATTGAAAAGGACTAAAAGTTTTTGCGATCTAACCAACCTAAGCGAAGATTGATTCTGTTCCGGAAATTTAACGCAGTCTGTTGAAAATTAGAATCAGAAACACCCCAGATTAGTAAGTCCCTTTCTTTTCCTTATTACGCAGTAACGTTTGCGGTATTTTGCAGAGATAATTAATTTTGATGTTCAGTCTGAAATTTGTTTATGAACACTTAAAAAGAGTTTTACTTTGCTTTCTAAGCAGAATATTTCTCAGTTCTGTTGGTCTATTTATTTTTATATGATGCACATATCGGAATGTTAAAATCATTTATTTAGCCGAGAAATCTAAAGAACGGCTTCAATCTCCCCTACTCCTCTTTTTCCAGTTACTATCCGGAATATTCGGCAATTTCCAAGTATGCGGGTTAGTTAAGCTTTTACTGTTAAAGGATGACTGCATGAAGCAATTTCCCATTTTCTGATTTCAGAAATGTGCCTCTTTTTTACTTAAATTACGTTGCTTGGAATATATATTAAGGGAAAACCGTTATGCAATGAAAATTTAGAAAATGTTCAGAATTTTGATTTAAGTTAAATTATTTAAATTTTAATATGAGTGGAAAAAATTGTATTTATTATTAGGTGCCAAACGAATACAATTAATATGGCTTATTATTATTTATTTTCTATATTTTGAACTGATATTTCAATGCTCATTCTCCTAATAAATATAGCATTGCTCATATTTTAAATTATAAGTCTAATTTTCCTTTTAAGGTTATGCAGTTGTATATAATGTAATTAGACAGGTGCTTATTTTTTCCTTAAAATGTGTTTGAAAAGTGCATATAGGTGCTTATTTTTTTAACTAAAATGTGGCTACGAACCCTTAGCTAATTGGCTTAGAAATAGAAGTGTTTTTAACAGATATACATATAATATATTTTTATTTAGAGAAAAGTTCAAAGTGGAAGCATGGCTTGAAACTTGCTTAACAAATTCTGGAACAAGAACGCAAAGTATCATAAAATTTTGAAATACTGTAGGACAAGATGGCTGTCTGTTTCAAAGTTTGTAACAAGAACTTTTGGAACAGTAGCATGGTCTGGTTCATTTTCTTTGGAGATCAACCAGATAACAGTGAGAATGAAGGAGAGGGATTGCTAAACATTAAACAATTTTTACAGTCACCTACCACTAAACAGTATTTATTATTTTTGAAGAGTGCCTTTATGTATAACAGTAAATATTAACTTGCAACAAGAAGCTCTTTACATACATAAATTGTTAAGAGAACTTGTTGAACATTTAATGAGCTTATTTGTTAGATTCATAAAACCATGAGTAATTTCTGAAGGAAATACGGATGTTGCATTGACATCTATTCCATTTCAAAAGCGGGATGAACAAAAAGAGAAAGAAAATTTAGTGGTAGAAACAAGATTATATTTTAAAATTACTGAGGGAAAGTGAAGTGAAATTATTTTTC